GAAGATCAAGTTTATTTTTATATTTTGCCATCTTTTTTGTACTTTGAAGTTTGTTTGGCGACTGGATTGTTTTTACGGAATGGGGTTGCTAGCCCAATGCTCGACCTTCCCTCTTTATCGGGGTTTAGGACCGACTAGTAACTAGTGAACTAGTTGACCATGGGAGGTTGGCTTTGACATGGTTGCAGGAAGTACGTTTTACATATTCCCATTTCGAATTTCACTAATCTGAGTGAAGCATTTCGTCTATTCTGCTTGTTCAGAGGATTAATATCTTGACAGGATTTACTTCCACTAGTCGATGATTCGAATTCACTGAACATTCTTAACTTTCAAATTCTAAATGTCATAGTTTACACGCAAAATATATTTGTTCATCGGCTTAACTTAGATGCACACTGAGTTGTGAATCTCCTACGGTGTGCCGGATCTACGATATCTAAATTCAAGTTGTATTTCGTTTAAAACGGCCTGTTCTGTAGAACATTTCTATTATAACTAGTAGGTAAGAATTAGCGAATAATTGTTAAGTTTACGGATAAACCTGCCTCCATAGTGACCGGCAAATGTAATAATAAGCTTCCTTTTTCATTATCCTTAGCTGTTTAGTGCAAGTTCATTGCGCATTCCATATATAAGTTTTTCAAAATTCGAACAATTACCTGCATTCATTTTGAAACAACTACGTTCAATATGGTCACCTACGATTTCCTAAAGCTGTATAAAGTGTAGCGGTAGGGTGGTAGCAAGGTTTCATGACAGATTTCTAGCTATACTGGTTAATAAATAATCTAAAACCACTCACCACAATTGAGTTTAAATGCTACCATCGGAGTTTGCGTAAAGCACTTTAAAAAGCTCATTTAAAGGTCTTCAAATAATTTTTCTTTCATCGATCACGAAGATCTGTCCCCTCACCCAATGGTTTCATTTGATGTGTTATTTGTATCAAGTATGAAGAAAGAACAGACCTGCTACTCACATATTTTGCACATGAAAACAAGGTGAGGTGGCCGACAAGTTCATCTATACTGACAGATAAATATGCCCCTCCTAGTCATGTTGATAAAACCCATACTGACAATGTAGCTTATTTTTTAAAGTTTCGGCTATTCATGTAGTAGTCCCTTTTAACGAAGAAAAGAACAGCAGTAGTGTCTGTTGGAAGTTTGGCAAAGCAATGGTTCTCAAGTGTCTCCACGATAAGGTCGAATACTGACATCCATTAGAGTACCTACGAATATGGTACATGAATGATGGTAGATGAAACAATACGTTTTACCGGTAAATAAAGAGAAGTAATAACTCACTATTATCACGTAGGTTCATTACCTTTGGTCTCAATGTGGTCACCAAATCGGTAGATTAAAACAGTCCTGTCCTCACTAACCATTTATTGTTGTGACTTCATTTGACGTCTAAAACCTATTCATTCGGTTACACATATGGACTAGTTCCCGATCGATCCCCTAAAATGTTTGAAAGTAAAGTCAAACTAGAAGATAAGGGAAATATTGAGTCTGGAGTCCTGGTGCAACTCAAATCTGCTTCATCATCAGGTTAGGATAGTGTTGCCAAGCTACGGCTATCTCAGACAGTCTAAACACTATCTAATATCACAATTACCAGTTTCTATCTGATATTTCATGTCTGTCCAGCAACATCAGAGTATGTTTACAGTAGGATTAACGTCGACAGGATATGCTCTACTGTATGCGAGAATAGCAGTTATTATTATTATTATTATTAGTCCCTTGGGTTCCTAGTGGAACATAGGGCTTCAGTAGCACGCCTCCAGTGACCTCTGTTCTCTGAGATCTTTTGAACCTGGTCCCACGACAGCCCAGAAGCTCTCATTTCCTGCTCGCACGACCTCCTCCATGTCACCCTTGGACGTCCAACTCGTCGCTTCCCATGGGGATTCCACTCGAGGGCCTGACGCGTGATGTCCTCAGTCGGCCTTCTCAGTGCATGGCCAATCCATCTCCACTTCTTCCTGCATATTTGTTGCGTGATAGGTTCTTGGTTGGTTCGTTCCCAGAGTTCCTTGTTGCTTATTTTTTCTGGCCATCTGATCTTCAGCAGCGAGCGTAAGCAGTTGTTGATGAATGTCTGTAGTTTATTGGAAATACCTTTCGTGACGCGCCAAGTCTCTGAGCCATACAAGAGCACTGACTTGACGTTGGTGTTGAAAATCCGTATCTTGTTCCGCATGCTGAGTGCAGAAGATCTCCACACTGGTTTCAGGCTAATGAATGCCTGTCTTGCTTTTCCGATTCTGACTTTGACGTCCTCGTCCGTCCCGCCTGTAGTTGAAACAGTGCTTCCTAGATAAGTGAAGGAGGTTACTTCCTTTAAGTTTCTCCCGTTGACAGTGATTGGAGTTTGTTGTTGTTGATGGTGGTGGTGCGGTATCTTCATCACTTCTGTCTTCTCTATATTCACCTGAAGTCCCGTCTTCGCTGCCTCTTCTATCAACTTGTTAGTTTTTGCCTGCAGATCTTCAAGTTTATGTGACATTAGGCATAAGTCATCGGCGAAATCCAAGTCTTCTAGGTTCTTTTCCGTCGTCCAGTGTATCCCCCTCTTCTCGCTGCCTACTGTTTGCTGCATGATCCAGTCCACCACAATAAGGAATATCATGGGGGATAGTAGGCAACCTTGTTTCACTCCTGTCTTCACTTCAAAGGCATCACTGAGCTTCCCATTGTGGATTACTTGGCATGTGGCATCTTCATATAGTTGTTGAATGAGGCGGATAAAGGTTTGCGGCACTCCGTAGTAATGAAGCAGCTTCCAAATTACCTCTCGGTCGACGCTGTCAAAGGCCTTCTCAAAGTCGATGAAGTTGAGGTGGAGAGGTGATTGCCATTCTATGCTCTGTTCTATGATGATGCGAAGCGTTGCAATTTGGTCTGCACATGATTTGTACTTCCTGAAGCCTGCCTGTTCCGGTCGTAGTTTTGAATCCAGTGCATCCCTTAGCCTCTCCAGGATGATGCGGCTTAATATTTTACTTGGGGTGGACAGGAGAGTGATTCCGCGCCAGTTCTTGCAAGCACTGAGGTCTCCCTTCTTCGGCAGTTTGACAAGGTAACCCTTCTTCCAATCGTCAGGTACCTTCTCTTCCTTCCACACCTTCTGCAATAGTGGTGTGAGCATGGCCGCTGTTGTCTCTGCATCTGTTTTCAGTGCTTCTGGCGGTATTCCATCTGGTCCTGCTGCTTTCCCACATTTCAGTAGCTTTATGGCGTTCAGGACTTCCATTTTCGTTGGGGGATTAATGTTCACTTGTAGTTCAGCGGCTGCAGGTGGTATTTCTGGACGAAGTGCAGGTGGTGGTCGATTCAAGAGCTTCTTGAAGTGGTCGGCCCATCGTTTCCTCTGTTTCTCTTCTTTTGTAATTAAATTTCCTTCTTCATCTTTTATTGGTTTCATCTGTGTTGGTCTCTTCCCTGACAGCAACCTGGTTATTTGATACAATGTCGTCAGGTCTCTCTTACCTGCAGCCTGTTCTGCTTCACTTGCCAGTGTTTCGTAGAAGTGTCTTTTGTCGTTGCGTGCACTCTTCTTCACTTCTTTGTCCAGTGTTTTATACATTGTGCTCAGTTCCTCTTGTCGTTGAGCATCCTTGCACTGGTTTATCTTCCGCTTCACCATCCTCCTCTCCTCTATCAGCTTCCAGGTATCCGTCGAGATCCATTCCTTGTCTTCCACCTTCTTCCTTCCTAATACTGTTGTGCAGGTTTCTTTCCACATAGCTTTCAAAGACTTCCAATGTTCTTCCACACAGGTTTCTTCAGGGATGTTGCTCGATGTCTCCCATTTTGTCTTGATGGCTGCCTTGAAGATCTCCTTTGTAGTTTCATCCTTCAGTTTCCGAGTGTTGTACTTGAATTGAGGTCTATCACCAGCTTCCTTGAAGGCTTTTAACTTGATTTGGAAGGTTCCTTGCACTAGGTAGTGGTCTGAACCTACATCTGCTCCTCTTCTTGACCTCGTGTTAAGTAGACTGCGTCTCCATTTTCTTGAGATTGAGATAAAGTCGATTTGATTTTTAGTGTGTCCATCTGGTGAAATCCATGTCGCTTTGTGGATATCTTTGTGCCTGAACACACTGCCTCCAATCACCAAATCGTTGAATGCGCAGAATTCTGCAAACAATTCTCCATTCTCATTCATTTCACCTAGTGCCTCTCGACCCATGGTTAGTTCTCTTCCCGTGTTGTCCCCTCCCAGTTTGGCATTCATGTCGCCCATCAGAATTTTGATATCGCCAACTGACGTCTTGTCCAGTGTTGATTGAAGTTGTCTGTAGAAATCCTCCTTTTTCTCTTGCTCTGCATTATTTGTAGGTGCATAACATTGTATGATTGTGACCTTTCTTCCTTTTGAGTTGAATCTTGCTGTCATGATCCTGGAGGAGATTGGTTCCCACTGCATGAGAGCCTTCGATGCTCTTGAGGACATCATGATAGCCACTCCCTCAGTGTGCTCGTGGTTGGCGTCTGGGTGACCGGAGTAGATTATTGATTCTCCAGTTGACAGTTTGGAGAGTCCACTCCCATTCCATCTGCTTTCGCAAATCCCAAGCACTTCGATGTTATACCTTCTCATCTCCCTTGCAATCTGGGCTGCCTTACTGGGTTCAAACATCGTGCGGACATTCCATGTCCCCACGTTTACTTTCGCTTTCATCGAGAGAAGACACATCGGCCAATTGGCTTCCCGAAGGCTTTCACCAACTGGCGTCATTTCGCCTCTCCGATTCCAGCGGGGAATAAGTTTGTTTTCATTTTTTATATTTTGTTTGTGCTTTGAAGTTTCTTTAGCGGTTAGATTTGTTTTACGGGGTAGGGTTGCTAGCCCTATGCCCAACCTTCCCTCTTTACCCGGGCTTAGGACCGGCTAGTAACTAGTAAACTAGTTAACCAGGCGAGAATAGCAGTAGGTGACAATAAGTCATTACACTACTTTAACTGTATCTATTTCATTTGTAGATGGAACGGATAAACTCCAGAAATTCGGTCTACAAGCATATATGGCAGGTATGTAATAATTGTTAAAGAGTTATCTGTGAGCAAAAATTTCATTTTTACTCGAGATAGGTCATCTTGCAAATGTAAACCTCACTTGTTTTAATTACTATATTAGCTGATCCGTTCCCTCTCCTAAAGTATTTTATCTGCGTGAAAATTAATAAAAACCACTGTGGTGCACGATGTGGATTTATCACTTTACTATTTGAGCTAATAAATGAGAAGTTATTGACACCAGCTCATCCGGTAATTATAATTTTCTGCTGACGCACATGTGAAGCCTGTCTTCACTGAATCTATTGTCATCTTCTTAGATTGACACTCTTAGTCAATCCGTTTTGACTACATTCATGCACACAACGAAAGTGTTTACTAAAAACCCCCCAGTTGACTAAGCTAATGGAAGTTATTGTTCTACAAATGAAGTGACACACTCTCAACAACAGGGATAAATGTGATAACTAACTACTGGTTTAATACAGGTGTATAGTCCTGCATCAAAAATATGGTGGTGATATGTGGATGCCACATTCACTGTGTTCAAATCGGAACACATCGACAATTTCCTCACACATATTAACTCAGTAGTAGGCACAATCCAATTCACTTATGAAGTAGAAAATTAACAAGGAGAACTACCTATGTTGGATTGCAAGATAAAACGAAGGACAGACGGTGGCTTGGATACTACCGTCTACAAAAAACCGACACATTCCAACAGGTATCAAGACTTCAAGTCATCCCATCCAATGTCAGTTGAGGCAAGTCTAATCAAATGTCTAAGTGATAGAGATGGAAAACTCACTAGTCAGTGCAGGGAACTAAACAACGAATTGAAACATATAAAAGAAGCACTAATAGTTAATAATTATCCTCCACAGTTTATTAAGAAATTCCTACGGACAAACAAGAAATGAAAAAATAACAGTCATACGAGTACGAATAATAACGACAAGAGCAGTAGAAAGGAGTTCACAGCCTCCATTGTGTTACCCTATCAGGAATGTACTTCACAAACTTTACTTATAATTCTGAACAAAGCTGGAATTAGGGTGCCATTTAAAACTGCAAACTCACTCAGAAATAAGCTTCGTCATCTGGCCAAATGATCCGATAGAACCAATTCAGCAAAATAATCTAATCAACCAAACTCCACATAATGACTGTGAGTCACATCAAATACATAGGTCAAACTAGCTGATCGGTGTCACCTAGATTAGCCGAACATAGTGATTTAGCTAAATATAGAATGACAGACACCAATAAGATCAATAATGTAGAAGAGGACCTCGGTTATTGCCATGCATGCATTAACACACAACCTGACAATCGTGTGGGTGGGATAAAGCCACTGTACTTAAGTCAAGCATATTTAAGTTGAGAGAGAGATTGATTACTGAATCTCTGTTCATCGAATCAATCAACAGCCAACATATATAATAGAAATGACTCAACACCTATACCAGAGATAAGTAAAGTTTTACTACCAATGAATACTAAGAATAAGAGGTGACAGGACTATAAAAGAAGCAGATATCGAAAGTTGTGTGATTACATTGATATGAATACGAACAATGATAATTTATACTCGAATCGTCATCAAGTAAGTAATACTACATGACTGTGTGTTATAAATCAAATGAACAAATCTAATATGGAACTAGTGGTTTACATTTCCGTAGCCCACTAGATAAATTGCAGGTCAAATATTTTTCAAATCATTGGTTTGAAACATGTTAGGGAAATAATCATTCTTTCATATCTTGTCTTTGCTGTTACGGATTGTTCTAGTCTGCAGACTGGAGAATTCCTGTTTATATGATTACTGAATGTTTGTACAGTATATGTGTCTTGAAGGTATTACTCTAGTGAAATGCTTGACTCAGATTCATGATCAGTGTCATTTACCTGACTGTTGATTTCTGCATGTATTTCGAAGTGGAAGGAAGATGCTTTCATGGTTACTTGAGAACTAGCAATTATGTTATCCTGCATTTTGATTGTATTATCGGTCTTTACTTTATTATCAAAATCAAATTGAGATTGTGAAGTTTGTGGCTGCAGAAGAAACGATACATCTTTTCAAAGCACCAACAGCTGTTGTGTATGCTCTATCCCATTCTTCATCAATCTTAGCATGCACTGAACGCTACATTTGAGGGAATTAACTAACCCCTGACCAGCTAAATCGAACAACAAATAAATGATGAAACATAAAAAATGATTTGTAAGCCAACATTTCATCGTTTCTGTGGATCACAGTATGTCACGTAAGCCAAACCTTTCCAATTACAAAGAAATTAGTATGCACAAAATCCTGTTGAATGGATTTACGAAGGATTGGATTCAGTGAATTAGCTTCTTAATCCCTTGTCATGATTTGACCTCAAAGTATTTTGTATCATGAACTGACAACTGTAAGAAAAAAATAAAAATCTTAGAACACCGAGTGGGTGTTTCGTCTTTGTTTTACCTTCTCAGTAGCATATAGATGACACCATGGGGGTTACAATATGGGCTTTTCGAATTTCTCGGTTAGCTTGACATCAGTTTACTTTTAACCACTCTATAGACAACTAACCTCATGAATAGTTCTTACAATACGCCTAATTTCAAATGATTTCGATTCTGAATCAATTATTTCACCTTTTATCGTAGTAGTAATGTTTTGTTGAACGAATACACGTTGAGAGAAACAAAAATGCTTTCAGGGAACTATTTAAGTTTTTCAAAACTCGACATAATGCATATTCATCATGAGAAACACATGGGTTTCGCCCTACTTCCTACTTCAGGAATGTTCATGAAATATTATTCCGTACAACGCTAAATCTTTATATGGAAGTTTATAAAATGAATATGCTACCACATAGAAAAATCCCATATAAACGTTTCTCACACAGAATGTGGTCATGGTAGATAGAAGATGTAAAACACTGAGAACTTTTCATCTAACATTCAGTGAAGATCAACTTTAGAAGCAAATTTTTGACTGTCTTTTGCACACTCATCTCACTACATAATAATATCTGTCAATTACATTTGCTGTAAACAGGTAATGTTAGTTTTTTTCAGGCATTAGTCGTTACTACTAACTACATGCAACTTCGAGACCTCGAGAAAAAAATAAAATAAATTCATTCGATCCAGTTAGCGTGGTTATTGAGGAACACGAGATTACAACGATGTTCATTGGTTATTACAGTAGGTTGTAAGAGAAATGCTAAAGTTTAGGAGGTGCGTACAACCATTTTCATTAAAGAGAATACGCGACAGTATACTACTATTACAACCTTGGTTAGATCCTAGAGAAGACCAGCTGCTTGAGCAGTATGAATCTAAAATCAGCAAAAGATATCTTTCACTTTACATCTGAATTTGCAAAACTATTCACAACTATTTAATCTGCTGTCTAAAACTATCCTCAAGGTGTCAGTTTTAAAACGTTCACCATCTGTGTTGCAATTGATTTGTCTGTCATTTGTGGTATATGAATAAATTTGACGTTTTGTTTACACAACTGAAAAGTTAAACCCTGTGATCCTCTGAAATCATTTCCATTTCCGATCGAAGTTAATTGGTGAACTATAAGAAATCAGGAAACTCTGGGAAAGAGTAACTCATTTTGAAAGGCAAAAATAGAGTACCGTATGCGGCTTAGTGCTAACAGAATCAATTCTATTAACCCAATGATTAAAATTCCTATCTGACTCAGCTGCCACTCATACACGGTCACCACCACACACATTAATGTGCAATATTAGTTGCAGTGGGTTTGGGTTGCATGGTGGCTGCGTGTTGAATGACCAAGATATGGCTTCAGTCCCAGGTATGTAGGAAGGTGAAGACTACCTGGCTGAGATACTTGAGCTGAAGGTATACAATGACTGAAGACTGCTGATAATATGACTAGAAATCGGTCAGAATAAAACAGATGTGTACCCAATTTTTCATCTTCGAATTCTTAGATAGTTTCAATTGACATCAATCCATTTTTTCTGTCAACTTTCACTGTAAATGCTACTGTCAACTGAAGCAACGCGAACCAATGCACTCATATGCCAGATTTTACGTTGACTTTTCTATTCATCAGCTTACTGATTCCCTACATCCAACAGTTCCCACCACTATTTCAATCCATCGTGTTTAGTGTTTTAACGCTCCATTTGTCTCTTGTTCATTCTTATCCAAGCAAGAAGAACTGAATTGACATAGGCTTACAAATAAAATAAGCTTCTTTTTGTCTACAAATCTAACTGTAGTTTTATTGATAAAATGTTGTAAGATAATTGACTCATAAAATCCACTTAAATTCTGTTCAATATAACAAGCGATTTACGGAAGTCATGAAAAATTGAACAAACTATTGGAAGAGACAAATGTAAGTTTTGATAATTTCGTCTAAATTAAAACTTTTAAGAGTTTCATTCAGTTTCCAGATCATTTTTACCCTAGTTTTTACTCTTGACGGGGAAATTTGACAGCAAACAGATTGATGCATGGAAAACTTCTAAACAACTTGTCTACAAGTGTTTACTAATGACATGTTCTCAGTGAATTGAAATTGAATGTCGTGAGAAATAATGGATTGTAGACGATTCCAGGAATGCAATTTGTTTACTTTCATTAAAATAGGCTTAAAATTGTACAAATCTGATAAAGATTCACGCACTATGATGTTAGTTTTGAGGTACAATATAATTCTGAATTATTGTAATAGGATAAACATTGATATTTGTAGAGGGTTCTTCACTATGATATCTATCCACATTAGTTGACTAATAGTCACAGTGTTGACAAATCATGGTTGACTTTACCGAGTCCAAAGTACTCACTGATATCCTACAATAGACACGGTCTCAAGATTGAAGTCATACCACATGGGCACCTGAAAAAGATAATGAAATGTGACCTGATGAATTTCTGCACACGCTTTACGAATAAGGGATGCATAATTCCTTTCTTATTCAAACATATTTTCGTTCAGTTGCACTGATGATTGAAGTTATGGGCAAAGTTCGATGACAGCAAGATTCAAAAAACTTTCTTCCAAGATAAACCACTTACTCTGACATTACACAGTTATACAATAATAAAAGTTACAGAACCCAACACTAGTTTTCTCACTGACTGTATTGTAGAGTTGATTAATCGAAGTCAGATGGAGTGTTTAGCTCTACTTAGAGCTGGAAATATCGGCAACAGTGAGGCGATACTTAACACTGGTGGCTAGCATGTATGATTTCAAACGCTGCTGCGTCATTTAACAGGCTAATAATTCATGAAAGCCATCTTTAGTGTTATCTCTTGTTGAATCTACCATTCTTTATTTTCAACGGTCACAGTAACAAGCCTTTCTTAGCATATGAATATCAAATTACGACTGCTTCTATTCTCCAATGACTTTAATCATGATCTTACATATTTGATGATGGGTATTTCATAGTATTTCATTTTGATGAGACAGAATAGTGACGATAGTGGCAAGGAGGTGAGTAAGCAAAACGATTATCGTTAGTTTTGCATGCATTTTCATGAAGTTCACAAGCATATTTTGTGAAATATATTTGGAAGTTGGTAGAGATTGACCGATTTTAAGATAGCGTTCAAAGCTAAGTTATATCAGATGGAAAGGGATTTGGGAGTTAACAGTGCTGGGCAGCCGTCTCATCTCTCTATGGCACCTCTCCAGCAGTGCACTCATACAAACCTGCTGGGAATTTAGCACAGAACTGTCGGTTTTCGCAACAAGTATACTGCCAGTCAGTGACTGTATTGATGTCGAATGGTTCACACGCTCCTACCACGTTTATCTTTCAACACAAAATGTTCATCAACAAAAGCCATCGGTGAGCATATGTCCTCACATCTAACTTTATTGACCCTGTGGTTCATGATATTTTTCTAGAACATTGCATTGTATCAAAAATTGACATGTTATTACCGAACTGGCTGTAAAATGTGATACTTCCAGACCCAATCATTGATGATTTCACGAATGACCTCTGTTAAGAAGTCCAGTGCTAGGAGGAAACAGTTGTCCAATCTCCTTCAATGTCCATTTTTTCTCCAACTGATGTGAGTCCTTCATGTATGCTATACTTTATTTATTAGAATATCTATACGGGACAGATTATTGCAGAATAAAGTTTTAGTGGCAAGATGGCATATCTGTGAAATATTTTCATAGTTTACATGAAACTGGAAGAGTAAATTTTACGGTGTAAGCAAATAAATGACCACTCAGAATGTGACGATTGAACTTCATTACCAAGGGCCGTAGATTGATGGTGTTAGGTAAACGTATTTACTATTGCCAAACACCAGTAATCGAAAGAGAGTTGGAATGTGAACTAATCAGATCCATGGCAATATATCTTTAACTGCTCAGGTTACACAATATACAGACGACTTAACTGGAATGATGCCGATTCATGCAGCTGCAGCTTGGGGGAATCCAAAATGTATTGAAGTGAGTTGCATAAATTTGTTTTATTATCATTTTGGTGTATTTACAAAGTGTAGATTGCAAATTAATTTGTAATGAGTTCATTACTTGATTTGTCAAAGTATTTCTTCCAAAAATAGATTTTACTTGTCAAGCACTAGAAGCTCCACTAGTAACTTCGAATTAATCAGTTACCTTATTAACTGGTGTGTGGATTATACTCTTTCAAATTTCATGAAAGTAGAACGAAAATAACGAGTTTTCAGAATGAGTTTTCTGTCCCGTTTAGGACTCATCAACCGGATAGACTTGTACTCTAGCGAATGGTGGTTTTCCAACCAAGAATGACTAGAGTATTGAGGACTTCCAGGTGAGAAAAAACCGTACTAGTGAAATTACGTTGCTAGCCACTAACAAACAGATTATATCGTACTGAATCACTAGGCAATATACCGAAGGCAGCTCATATGCTAACATAGGCCAATAACTTCGGTCCAGTGTGGTAAACAACGTGCAATTACAAATACCAATGAATGAAAAATTATTTTTAATAATGCTAGGAATAGAAGCCTTGGTGAGAAAGATAAACTATCGTAGCATCTTCATTATAGTTGAGAAATGAAACGGGTTATTGTACTTTGTTAGTCTCAAAAGATCAGTTGAGTTACATTAGCTATTGCTAGTAGTCGCATGCAAGTTATTTATGATATGAATAATGCCTAATATGGAACTTCATTTTTATTATTTGAAAGTCAGTATATATATATATATATATATATATATATATATATATATATATATATATATATATATATATATATAATATATGTATATATATCAATAAAATGAGATCGTAATCGCTCACTTATGATTTGAGTTAATAAATATTAAACAAGACCAGACAGAATTTGTAATCATATTTAACATTAACAACGCTGTTGGCTAGAGAGAGTTTCATATTGAAGTTAGTGTTGATAATGTTGTCTAGAAAGTCAATGAAGGCTTAAAAATTATGCTACCCACCTCAGAGAACCCAACATATCGAAAAGAGTTTCAAATCTCGTGACGATGCCTGTGTTTGAGTACTTTATATCACTTTCTGATAAATTTCTCCATTAGTTAATAAAGGTTATCTTTCAATTATAATATATGGGATATGTTATTACTCATTTGGTTTGTACTACCATAATTAGTGATTCCTTCCTTCATCCAATAACCAATGTCGCTGGTTTCAAATATTTTGACAGTGAATATTCTGTTCCTTGAAATCTCGTAAATAAATTAGAAGAAGAGTACTGACAGGTTGTCTGTTATTCACTGACGGATAACATAACACTTACATTTACCAAAATATGAATCATCAAGTAAGCTTCTGCGAATTCTGAGAAAATCATTTCCCATTAACAAGATAGTATAGTAAAAACAGGAAATATAGTGCATAATGAATCTTATCGCATTCTCTTCAAGTGCTTACAAGTAATTGCTATTAAATGCATGAAACACAGAGATTGCCTAACTTTCAGGTTGAAAATTCATGATCCACCGCAAAATAATTAAGGGATTATACGATTGGGTATGTGGATTTTGATAGTCTGTGAAACTGGAATAAGTAGAATTCACTTTTATTAGGAGGTACCTTCATGAAAATAGGCATTTTGAAATGTCTGGTCAAAAGCGCAGGATCTAAAGTCAGAGAATCAAGCTAACGAAGGAATCGATGTTTACCCGTAGAGTATGCAAAGGTGATTGTATGAGAAATAGATTTAATCAAGGATTGAAAGCTGTATTTAACATCACCTTCCTTGCCATGTGTGTATTTAATATTCCAAACAGAAGTACATGAATCCCCATCTCAAATCAACTTAACCCACGGTCACTAATCTAATCATATCAGTCAAGTCAGTAAATTTGAAGGAGAAAGAGATAGTCAGGCTGAAAATTGTCTTCATAAATGCATTCCGAGAAACTGAAATTGTAAAGGGTTTAATACATTAACAACTGAGTCTTTTGTAACTTGGTTGATACTTAACACGACGTTGACATCGAAATTTCTTCGAAAACATCAACAGACTGTCTTAACTGGTTTTGCATAGGCTCTTAGAAATTAGTTTATCATTCCATTCATAGGTTTGTAGGGATTTATTGGCATTTATTATAGACTGATATCGGTTGAAGAGCTATTGAAAATCCGAGATTACTAAACATCTTTTACCTCCAACTTTGCACTTTGTACATCTCTACTTACCCTTTGGAGACCAAAGCTGACCAAGGAGAGTGAAATCCAAAAGTTTTCCTTATAGCATGACTCAAATTTGTTGCGTAAGTCAACTGCATGAACTTGAGTAATGTTTTCTAGTTCAGTTTATTTTCTGCATCTCAAGCAAACAACAATTGTATGTGTCATTGCTGTTTAGTGGAATAGAAAAACCTTACATTGAGCCCAGATGATGCAAGGAACTCCTACATTTCACATCCGAGATGAATTGATCTTTAAGTCCTTTTCCTGCTTCATTCACCTTCTGTATTTCCAGGCTATTTTTCTTGTTTTATATATTGGCAGCTACAGGAATTCGACCATAACTCTACTTGTTTTACAGAAGGAAATCATGCTGCACACTAATTACATCTGTTCATGAAGACAGTACATTTCATGATGGAAATAAATAAAAGGAATCGAATGTAGGGAAATCATTTCATCGAGAAACCTTGATCGAATAAATAATTCCTTTGTGTTCACTTGTCGTAGATGACCGATCTCTGTTATAGTGATTTACTCATAAATAGTTATAGGCTATTGTTTTACAATGATAATTAGAGAAGAGTACTTCAAGTGGATCGTTGGAGTACTCACAAGGAGAGGTAAGACTGACTGAAATGTATTAAAGTGAGAACATATGAGCTAAGTTAAAATCACACATTTTCAGATCATATGTCATCTTCCTACTTGTCTCACTTGAATGAACTTATCTAGGTTGTCAGTAAGTCAAATTAAGCTGGACAGTGCGCGAAGTGTGTTCTATGCTGAGGGATATGAAGCAGTCGTGATTGAACTATAACCCTTTTGGCTTGTCTGTATAAATGACTTCATCCAACGAGTGATTAGTATGATGTGAATGTATCGAGACCCCTTCACAATAAACCTCAGATTTCATACTTGGTGGTTGCTTTGTGGTTAGAAAACAGACTATCGAAAACTATACAGGACGGAAAGTTTGTTGTAGAGTCGAGCATACACAAAATACGAAGACGAAGGGTACCCGCTGAATCATCAAAGGGACAAAAGACAAAGTATTTTCACTTCTTGATGGTGTCATTCAATATAGAAACACAATCTTACTAATAACTATTGAAAACGAATAGCAGTCTTTCACTATCCACCGTTTCCCCTCTTCTCATCACAGTATTGATAACCACTTCACTGTTGGCAGTTTCGTTGGGATACGCGTCTCTCCCCTTCACTTTATTTCTACCTGTCAAAAGAACTAATTTCACTTCCCATCTAGACAAATTCTATCCTCTAGTCAAACTCCTCACGTTTCTGTCTACTTTTGTTATTAAGCAACGCCTTAGCGACTGTAGGAAAAACTTTTCATTTCAATGTAGTGATCTTAACCCATGCTACTGATTAATTATATACCGTTATGGGTTTCCAACACCTAGGAATATGACTGTACAGCCTAATCAGATGACAGTGTGGAGAAAGGAGAATTTTCGACACTCAACTCACTTTCATTTCCCTTAAAGTCTGGTGAATAACTGTGGATATATTCAGGCCCTCTTATGTTCACTGATTTCGCTTATTTATCCTCTGATGTATTTACAAATCGAGTCATATGACTGTTTGGGGACTTTTCACTGCGTCTGGTTGGCTGTAGATAGATTCGACAACGTTTGACGTATTTAAATATCTAAAGGGAAGACAATTCATGTCCTAATAGGGCGTAACCTGTATTGAGAAGCATAATATTTCTATGACAAGCTCCGATTACCCAATAACCTCCCCTATCCAGTGTGATGAATCATATTATCTCCAAGTCGAAACTTTCCCAAACCATCCAATCCATTGTTGGTCAGGATATGTTGAAACATATTTGTAATCGAATCAACTTCTTCCTTATAATTTTGTATATATTTTCAGGTTCTTGTTCAACATGGTTGTGATGTGAATCAGTTTGACTCAATGAACTGCCTACCCATTCATCATGCAGCCAGAAATGGGCATACTGGTGAGTTTCAATTCAAGTGCCAACAGTGAGTAAATTAGTAATTTATTGGTAAAACTGTATTCCAGTAATTAGGTAGGCTGTATGGTGGTTCACCTGAGTTTTCTGTGGAGTTAACTATTCAGCAGTGAGGTGGATGAAAAGTAAAGATGTTGGTGGACAGTCATGCTAGTTTCCACTGAACTCTAACCATTGGCTGAATGGTTCATACGCTCACCACATCATGTAAAGGTTCAGGATAGCGTTCCTGGAAGGGTCATGATGCAAACTGTTAGGGAGTTCCACACTAGGACGAAATAGCTGTCCAGTGTTTCCAAGTTCTTTGTGGTTCTCCATTGTCCTGAAATAAATAAAATCGCCATAAGCTTCAAAGTTAACACTGTTTTCAAACAGATACTCTCTAGACTTTAATATAAGTGGTTAAACATATTTAAGATGTAGGCTTGTCAGTCAAATGAAAGTCTCATCAATATGTTTATATAATCATGACAATGGTATTCATAACAGATATAATATCAGTAGCAATAATTATAACAATAAGGTTGAAAGTCACGGCGATAGTGTTCAATAAAACAGTTGTAATATATATGACAATGACGATAGGAACCAAGAGAATCGCACTCCAGTAATCAAAGGGGGTCGAAAGTATGGGAAAATAGCAGTTACAAATTGCAACACTCCGCATCATCATAGAACAGAGTATAGAATGGCAGTCAACTCAACCCAGCCCCAACTTCATCGACTTTGAGAAGGCCTTCAACAACGTCGAATGAGAAGTAATTTGGCAACTGCTTCAACACTACGGAATGCCACAAACCTTTATCAGCCTCATTCAACAACTATATGAAGACGCCACATGCCAAGTAATTCACAATGGGGAGCTCAGTGATGATTTTGAAGTGAAGAAAGAAGTAAAACAAGGCTGTCTACTATCACGACCATCTTCCTGATTGTGGTTGACTGGATCATGTAACAAACAGTGATGAGCGAGAAGAGGGGGATACGCTGCCTGGACCGATTTAAAGAGCCTAGGGGATTTGGATCCCGCCGATGGCTGAAGTCTAATGTCACACAAACTTGAAGATCTATAGGCGAAAACTAACAAGTTGACAGAGGAGGCAGCGAAGGAAGACGGAACTTCAAGTGAACGTAGAGAAGACAGAGGTAGAGGTGATGAAGATACCCAATCAACAATTCCAACAACAACAACAAGCTCTAATCCCCATCAACGGGAGAAACATAAAGGAAGTAGTCTATTTCATCTCTCTAGGCAGCACGTGTTCCAAATACAGGGGTCACAGGCACAGAAGAGGATGTCAAAGACAGTCAGGATTGGAAAGACAGCAAGACAAGCCTTCCTTCATTAACCTGAAACCATTGTGGAGATCTACTGCACTTCACTGCACTGCATTGCAATCAGCATAAAGAGTGAATAACATCCGGATTTTGAACACCAATGTCACGTCAGTGCTGCTATATGGTTCAAAAACTTGGCGCATCACACAAAGCATTTCCAACAAACTACAGACATTCATCAACAACTGCCACCTACGCTGGCTCCTTACTGAAGATCAGATGAGAAGGTCAGAAGGAATAAGCAACAAGGAACTCACTCTGTCAACGAACCAACGAAGCAAGAACCTATCGAAGAACAAATATGCAGTAGAAGGAAATGGAGATGGATTGGGCATACACTGAGAAGGTCGACTGGCGAAATCACGCGTCAGGCCAGGCACTCGAATGGAACCCAGATGGGAAGTGACGAGTTGGGCGTGGGAGGCGAGGATGTCATGGAGGAGATCGTGCGAGGAATAAATGAGAGCTTGTTGGCTGTCATGGCGACGGATTCAAAAGATTGATGAGGATAGAGTGGAATGGAGACGTAATACTGAAGCCCTATGTTCCATTAAGAACCCAAGGGACAAATAATGATAATAATAATGTGAATGAAGAAAATAGGTAGGCAAAAAAAAGTCTAGACAAATATAGTGGGCCTATGAGAGGGATAAAAAATAAGAATCGTCTAAAGAACTTTCAATGATGAAGTTGTTTATCAAGTCTTTTCTATTAAGAGAGAAATAAAATGTGATTAGTTTGACTGTATGAGATTCCCAGATTCCGCAGACTTGTAATTATACTCGGTGATGATTGGAAGCAAATGAAAACCCCGGCCGTGTCAGGATTTGGACCACCCACAACGATCTCTTAGCTTATAACCTTACCAACTAGGCTTCAAAGCTCGACTACTGGCCAGATTTGGATTTCACTGCAATCACCAAGGATTTTATCCAATTCCCATGCGAATCGGCGACGCGATGAAAGATGCATAAAATCCTTGTGAGTACAAAGACATCAATTTTCAACTTGAATTCTCATAGCTACCCCTAGGTGTAAGCGACCAGTTCGAATGTAATTCAAAATACCATGTGGTATGCGATAGATAATCCTGTGAGCATTGCTTTCCTCTACTACATGACCGCTATCTTTCTTTCCCAACCATGAAGATAGATGCCGAAAAGCACGTCTGCTAAATTACTCAGTAGAAATCTCTTTATTGCTTCTATCACAAGAGCAATTAAACTCGTAAATACACATAGAAATAGAGAAACTAGGTGACTTATCTGTCATCTGGGTAATAACGACTAGTTGGCTGAAAAATGATGAACAGAGCTCCATAGCGTAGGAAGTCATATCTCTGATGTGAAATTTCCGTGGTTACATATCCGTTAAATTGCATCGTGATGAACCGTGGTTTCCTCTCAACAGTAACAAATTCACGTTTCATTCCTGTTGCTTTATCCATCTGCTTTTCTATGAAGCTGCTAGAAAAGCCGATTTCAGACAATCAGCTACTGAATCATTCAAGCATATTCTAGCTCTATTGATAGGTCATTTAACTAGCTTACCTTTGTATTGAATGGGCGTGTGGCAACGAAAATGAGTGTATCAACCTATGAATATGGTCTTCCTGTACAAATATCTGCTGGGTAGACCATCATTTTTCTTCCATTTATCCAATTAGCGGTTTCTTTCCAATATGCTTTGATAGAACGCGCTCATTTGAACAATCAGTGAGCGAAAATAGTTATTGTGTTGTAGAAGCTAATATCCTTGCAAAATTCGCCCATTTCCGAAAAGTTACACTGTTACATAAGCAAGGTTTTTTAGATAATGAAGAATATCTGTTTTTCAAGGGAAGAATTATCTGTTATGTGTTCATCTACCTTCGTATTAGCTAATGTTTAAATATGTTGAATTCTGTCTTAGTCAAACTGTATCAAGCAGTGTTACATTCAAGCTATTCTTCAAATGAGTATTCCAAAACTTAACATCTCTTATGCTTGTTCAATTTATTGCCCAGAAACCTCCCCATATACAAAAGATACATGGAAATCGCTAGTAAGTTATGTAAACATAAAGATGATGAAGATGGTGTTGTGCATGAAGGAATCATTCATGCATTTATTTACTTAGCCGAAATATTCTAATTAAATGTGTGAGTGATGGAATACAGTATAGGTTGATGTAAAACGACAAGTTCTAATCGCGAAAAAGTGAAAAGCTCAAATTTAGTTGATCACTTACAATAATGCCAATAATCCTTTCAAGTCAAACTAGGCAGTTAGGAAAACGGCGAAATCAGACAACCACCGTCGGAAAACATGATGATGGAAATAAATATCAAATCTAAATAACATAATACAATATGAATCAAAGGCCTGCAGCAAATATACCGGGTACTGAATTTATTTTCTTATTTAAATTTTCTCTTGGGTTCCTAGTGGGATATAGTACTTCAACAGCACGTCTCCATTCCACTCTCTTCTCTCCAGTCTTCAAAACCTCGCTCCATCACTACCCACAACCTTTCATTTATTCCTCACACAATCTCCTCCATCTCACCATCACCTCGAACACTCAACTCGTCCTTCACCATTTCGGTTCCACTCCACTCCACTCACGATCTGGCCTGGCCTAGCCTGACCTGACACATAATGTCCCCAACCGACCTTCTCAGTGTATCGTCAATCCAATCCAATCCATCTCCACCTTCTTCTGCACTTTTGTTGGCCGATGGATTCCTGGTTGCTTCATTCCCAGAGTTCCCCCTTGCTTATTCTCATTATTCTGGACCTCTGATCTGATCCTCAGTATCGAGTGAGAGTAGGTGGCAGTTGTTGATGAATGTCTGTAGTTAGCTGGAAATGCTTTGTGTGATGCGCCAAGTTTTCGAATCATATAGCAGCACTGACGTGATATTGGTGTTCAAAATCCGGATGTTGTTCTCGCTATATGCTGATTGCAATGCAGTGCAGTGCAGTGCAGTGCAGTGCAGTAGATCTCTACACTGGTTTCAGGTTAATGAAGGAAGGCTTGTCTTGTTGTCTTTCCGATCCTGACTGGCTTTGACATCCTCTTCTGTGCCTGTGACCCCTGTATTTGGAACACGTGCTGCCTAGGTAGGTAGGTAGGTAGGTAGGTAGGTAGGTAGGTAGGTAGGTGAAAGCACTAACTTATTTTGGGTTCATCCTGGTCATAGTGATTGGTGTTTGTTGTTGATGCCATTGTTCGTTGGGTATCTACATCACCTCTTTCTCTTCTACATTCACTTGAAGACCCACCTTCATTGCACATTCTATCAACCTGTTGGTTTCTGCTGTAGATCTTCGAGTCTGTGCGACATAAGATATAAATTACTATCCAAATCTTTTTATTGGGGCTTTTTATCGGTCCAGTCAGCACATGCCCCTCGTCTGGCTCCTCACAGTTTGCTGCATAATCCAGTTCGTTGTGAATCACTTGGCATGTAGCATCATATAGCATGTAGCTGCTGTTGAATGAGGTTGATAAAGGTTTGAGGCTCTAAAACCGAAATGTTGAAGCAGCTGCAAAATTACTTCTTCGTCGAAGCTGTCAAACGAAGGCCTCTTGAAAATCGATGGATGAGACTTAGCAAAGCGTTGCGATTCGATCCACACTCGATTTGCTCTTCCTGAAGCCAGCCAGCCAACCAGTCTGGTCTGGTCGTCATTTTGAATGCAGAGCATCTGTAAGCATCTCCAGGATGATGCGGATTAATATTTTGCTTGGAGTGGACAGGAGTGGAGCATGGTTCTGCAACACTCCTTGCAAAGACATGCGTCACTCTTCTTTGCGAGTTTGACTGGGTAGCCCTGCTTCAAATCATCACGCACCTTCCCTTCCTTCCTTCCTTTCGCCCTTCCTCCCTTCCAAACCTTCTGCAGTAGTAGTGTCAGCATCTCCGTTGTTGTCTCTGCATCTGCTTTCTTTATTCTGAAGCAATTCCATTTGGTCCTGCTGATTTCCCACATTTCTGCAACTTTATGCTCCTCAAAACTTCAATTCTGCTTTGTCGGATGGCATGTGTTCACTGGTAATTCAGCAGTTCCCGGTTGTATTTCTGGAAGAGTTGCAGGTGGTAGTGCTGGTGGTCAACTCAAGAGCTTTAGAAATGGTCAGCACATCGTTTCCTTCGTTTCTCCTCTTTGAAGATAACTAAGTTTCCTTCACCATCTTCCATATGTTGCATCTGCGTTGATCTCTTCCCTCTCAAATAGTAACCTGGCTATTTGATATAATGTTGTCAGGTCTCTGTCTCTCCCACCTGCAACCTGTTCTGGTTTACTTGCCAATGTGTTGTAGAAGTGACTTTTATCTTCGCGCGCGCTCTTCTCCACTTCTTTTTCCAGTGTAGTATTTTATAGGTTGTATTCAGCTCCCCTCTTCGTTGTTCATCCATGCACTGCACTGCACTGCATTGATTCATATTCTGCTTCACCAACACCATCTTCCTCTCCCTCCTCTACCAGCCTCCACGTATCCATCAAGATCCATTCCTTATCTTATTTCTACTTCCTTCTTAACATGGTCATACAGGTTTCCTTCCACGTCTCTTCCAAACAGTTCCAATTTTCTTCCACACAGGTTTGCTCGAAAATGTTGCTTGATATCTCCTTTTTTTCTGTTAACCGAATGACATGAAGATGCCCTTTATAGTTTCGTCCTTCACTGGGTGCTGAAATTGGACTGCCGTCGTCTAGCACCAACTTCTGTGAATACTTTCAACTTGATTTTGAAGGTTCGTTGCACTAGACGGTGAGTGGTGTGAACCACTTACATCTGCTCCCACTCTTCATCTGATCTTCTATCCAGTAGGCTGCATCTCCACTTTCCTCTCATTGAGATGAAGTCGATCTGATTTTTAGTGTAGTGTGTCCTTCTGTCTGGTGAAATCAAATCCATATCGCTGCCTTGTGAATATCCTTGTGTTTGCACACACCGCCTCAATCATCAAGTCGTTGAATGCATAGAAGCCTGCAAACAGTTCTCAATTCTCATTCATCATTTCACCGAGTGCCTCTCGATCCATGTTTAGTCCTCTTCCTGTGTTGTCCACTACCAGTTCGGCATTCATATCACCCCACACATTCGAATTTTGATGTCGCCGACTAGGGTGGGGTCTTGTTCAGTACTGATTGCAGTTGTGTGTAGAATTCCTCTTTCTTCTCTTGATCTACATTATTTGTAGGTGCGTAGCGTAGCATTATATGATTGTGACTTTCTTTCCTTTTGAGTTGAACCTTGCTGTCATGATCCTGGAGGAGACTGGTTCCCACTTCATGGCAGCCTTTGATGTTCTTAGGGAGATCATGATAGCCACTCATCTAATTAAAATTACGCAACATTCCATATCCGCTCTAATCACAGCAGTATTTGTTGGTATGAAGTTAATAATCAGGATGACAGAAGTGCATTTAAAACTCTGTTGATGCTGATTTAGCATTGTAAAACCCATAACCTTCCACACTGACTTTCGCTTAGTTTAATCTCTCTAAGGTAACTGATTTTGACCAACTAGAACAGACAAAAAGTGGATATGAAAAGAAAAATACTCAGCAATGCCTTAAACCAATCGCACTAGAGATTTCAAGGTTTCATTTCTCTGAACGGATCATTTCAAAATAGGAAGCTTCATTTTTTTTAATAATTTATCCCTTAGGTTCCTAGTGGAACATACAGCTTCAGTAGGAAGCTTTATGAGACCCTTTAAAACTGAGTTGTTACTCTCAAGTAAGCAGAGTTGTACTAGTGGTGCATTGATGACAAATTCGTTGCATAAGGGGAAAAGTAAAGGCGGATACGCCACCGAAGACTTATAACTCACGCCACTTAAATACGACTTTCACATCAGTGGAAGAAGAAGATGATGCGAGCGAATACTTAACTGTCTCTGTAGCGAGGGGAATCGACAGGTCGTTCGACAGGTCCACTTTGGGTAAACCATGGTTGCTGAGTGTATATAGATTAATTTGGACGGCTTAAACAATGTTATCTGCAGAAAAAGTGCGTATTCTAATTGGTACTTAGAATTTATTCCGGCTCATCTTATATCAGAGTTGGTTTAATGAAATAATAGATAAAGATCTCTAGGGGGTAAAATCCAAACGTTTACTACAGAAAGATATACAACAGGATGGGACAATGTGATAAGGCCAACAGCTAACTTTTTATTGTGTGGAGAGAGACTGTTAGCTGGAGCTTCATTTGTCTAACCAACATTGAACACAGAAAATAGAAATCTCTTTAAAAATTTGAATGCCTATAGGATGAATAAATCGGCAGAAGTGGAATTTAGAAAATATCACGTGAAAGATATGGAGTTATCGTTGATGTGTATTGAGGGATTAATTCTATTCGAAACGTCATCTACTAAATAATGGTGTTTCACTGGATAAACTAGCCAACAAAGAAAACCAACAAAAGTACACGTCCACATAGATATTTAGGCTTATTGAAAGTCGAACAAAAAGCCCACCAGTAACCAGGAGGAAATGCATCCCATCGAAATTCATACATTTACTGCTTAACATGGATGAAATAAACTACTTCCTTCGTCATGCTGGTTAATGTGATTCCGAGATTCCTGATGGTTAGCTTTGTTTCACTCTAGTTATTAGAAACTTAAAAATCATGTTTGCGTAGATTTCCTCAAGTTCAGCGATTTTTTCTACTTATGTCCTCAAGGAAATTTTCTTTTCCCTTTCCTCATTCTCAGCTACTGTGGAATGGCTTATGAAGAATGGAGCGAATCTTTTGCAATACAATTTATTCGGCCAAAAACCGGCAGATTTAGCTATGGCCAACCATTTCCCTGAGCTTGCAGATATAATTGGTCGACAAAGTTAGTTTATTTTATTGTTAACTGAAAACGTTTACCACCACTTTTTTTGATGCATATACCCGTCATCCACAAAGCTGTTAATCATATTTTCTGTACAGTAGTGTGGACACTAACGCTACATATAGCCTTACGAGTTTACTTCAAACACACTTGCTGTTGATTTTGGGTAATAACTGAAGATGGAATGAAAATCTGAGATATAACGAGATTGAAACCAGTGGCTGGTACTCTATGGACTGAGATAGATGACTCAGCTGCCGAATAAGTCGTAAATTCGATTGCTGATGGTTATTCCAACCAATGGTCACTGATTCCAATAGCAAAGAGAAGTAGCGTTCCATTTCACTTTCAAACATCTCACAGTATCAATAAGAGCAGATCAGCAAACCATGGCTATCCCAAGTAGTCTCAATAAAACATGCTCCTATCAATACTTTGTAGTGGATCAGTGAAAGTAGAATACCATAAAAGTGAACCCGGGGTGATAAAAGTCTGTTATCATTTACCAATGATCATTTGGTTAGCAAAGTGTTACCACTCTTAAGATGAACATTATAAGCAATCTAAGCATTCTCATTTTAACCCTATGAACTGCTCAATAACATCAAAGAAAAGAGTCACCAGAGTACCAGTTGACCTGTGGAAGGTGACTGGTGTTGAAAAGCCTGTTTTTGTGGATCATCTGAATTCACTGACTCCACTACTCAGTCCTATCAGTAAGCTAGGTCAGTCATGGTCTTTTTAAAATTCACATGAAGATATCCTTAAAGTCGCTGAATCACAAATAAGTTTCAGTAATTAGGATGGCTGATGAACATTTCACTGGGGCAGGAGTGAAATTTAGGAACTGTGGTAGACTATAATCATATTCAGTCTGTTTATTAGAAATGTCACACAGAGGAACAGTATCATTTACTGCATAACGCTTCGGACATAATCCATTGTGCATATTCATATCAGGTAACTCCGTAAATTTCAGTTATGGTTTATATGGCTGTAGTTCTCTCTCTGTTTTGTAATCAGGGTGGTATAATTTTCCATATGTGTAAGACAGGCGGTGATGAAGATACCCAACCAACAATAGCATCAACAACAAGCACCAATCACTATGAACAGGATCAACCCAAAGAAGTTGGTGCTTTCACCTACCTACCTACCTACCTACCTAGGCAGCACGTGTTCCAAATACAGGGGTCACAGGCACAGAAGAGGATGTCAAAGCCAGTCAGGATCGGAAAGACAACAAGACAAGCCTTCCTTCATTAACCTGAAACCATTGTGGAGATCTACTGCACTGCACTGCAATCAGCATATAGCGAGAACAACATCCGGATTTTGAACACCAATATCACGTCAGTGCTGCTATATGATTCGAAAACTTGGCGCATCACACAAAGCATTTCCAGCTAACTACAGACATTCATCAACAACTGCCACCTACTCTCACTCGATACTGAGGATCAGATCAGAGGTCCAGAATAATGAGAATAAGCAAGGGGGAACTCTGGGAATGAAGCAACCAGGAATCCATCGGCCAACAAAAGTGCAGAAGAAGGTGGGGATGGATTGAATTGGATTGACGATACACTGAGAAGGTCGGTTGGGGACATTACGTGTCAGGCCAGGCTAGGCCAGGCCAGATCGTTGAGTGGAGTGGAGTGGAACCGAAATGGTGAAGGACGAGTTGAGTGTTCGAGGTGATGGTGAGATGGAGGAGATTGTGTGAGGAATAAATGAAAGGTTGTGGGTAGTGATGGAGCGAGGTTTTGAAGACTGGAGAGAAGAGAGTGGAATGGAGACGTGCTGTTGAAGTACTATATTCCACTAGGAACCCGAGGTAAAAATGGTAATAATAAATACAGGCCGAGAATCATTCCAACGGCATGTATTTGGAAGTGATTCGATATACGGAGATTCGGTTATCAGTTTCGCCCTCCACCCAACTTAGCGTTTGTTATTATTGTCGCTTTATCCTACGCTATTTTGTGTTTGTTTGCAGCTGCGTACGTAGTGATAGCCGGAATTTCTTTCAAATTTCTTGTCTTACTACCACCTAGAAGTTTTTATTGACTCAGATTTTTGTATTCTTATAGTCTAGTTGATCCTGATCTATTATTCTGACCCATGTATTTGACTTAGAAATTTTTCTCAGGGATATGGTGAAGTGAATTATTCTGCCGAAGTGAATAATAGTATCTTCTGACCTACAAAGTTTCTTTCTAAATGAGTCTGTCGTCTTAGATGCCATTTCAAATCCGAGTCACATCAAGAATTCCTCTTGATGCATTCCAAGTGCCTTCATTTGTTCGGTAATACAGTAGAGGCTTTGAATTCTTTCTTCAGCCGGTTAACAACAACAGCAAAACTAGTATTATTAGTCGCTGAACTATTAATAACACCGGTGACATTATTACTACTGCTCATATTTGTATTTCGATGTCTTACGAATTTATTGATAAATTTAGTTGGGTGATTATTGAGATGTAAAGTATTCTTGATGTGCCTTATTTCTTGTTTCAGATTTTCTGTCCTACTAGTAAACTTTCTTGCCCTATTGCTGAAGCATTCAACTAAGTCTAAGTTAGCTGAGATAGCATGAGATGACTTGAATTTTAAGTAGCGGTTTAAATAGGAGGTTTTCTAGTAGACCCTAGGCAACAAAAACTTCCATCTTGTCTTCGCTTAATCTTGCAATCCAATATTGCTGACTTACATTTATCCCATTGTAAGTTATAGGTAAATAAATTGTGTTGACTACTGAATTTATCTGTGTAAGTAACCTATTAGTGTGCTCCAATTTCAAATCGTTAATGTGTCATCTTCTTAACTGAACCATATCTCTGGAGTAGGCCTAAATGTTTCGAGGGCCATCAGTTTCTAATTAACTATGTATGTACATGCTATGATAAGGGACATTGGTAACCCCTTAGCAACTCCTTGTTTTCTTGTGTATTTTGTTTTGAAAATAAAAGATTATAGAAGTGAAACACAATTGTATTCCTAGCATGATTTCCTCAATCGGTACCCTCGTTTGATGCATAAGACCATTGTCATCCACAATTATTACTTCTAACTCCTCTAGAGTCGTGTTGATCAGTATATCCGAGTACAGGCTATTTGTGTCAAACTAACCATTTTTCACTGTAATCTACTTGTATTTCATCGAATCTTTGCTTGAAGTGATGAGCTAGTGAGTCGAGATTTTCAATGTTATCTTGTTAGATCGAGTACCATTGCTAAATATTTAGACAACTTATAAGTTGGAATGATTTTAAAATCTGTTACGTGCCTTATGGAATAACATGACTTATGAATTTTAGTAATACCATAATTTCTACTAGGGTTATTAGTGTTCAGTATAAAATTTGGCCATCTTGACTCAACTAAAAACGGTTTCATTCAGCAAATATGATCCTCCATGGATTTCTTCACCTTATTCATAATAGGATCCACTGTTTTCCTGATTTCTTTGTGTCGTTCATTCGCTTTGCAAATATGTAATCAGATTTGTTCGTGACAACTTTCGAGTTGCATGTGTCCGATTTAGTAGTCGCCATATTATTATCATTCCGGAGATGCTTAAGAACTTCATTACTGGTCGATGAATAAAAGTGGATTTCTGATTTTTTTAACTTGAAAGCTAGGCTCAGAAGTAAATGTGTTACACGAAGACAATGATCTTGGTGTAGAGGTTAACAAATTGAAACTAGAAAATGTCATTTCTAAAACATACCGTCATACTTGTTAATACTGCCTGCCAACCTCTAGACCTGCATACCTGTGGCCTGTCCGCTTGGTCCAGTCAGCAAACCTATGTATGGCTTTTACGGCTACCAGTCTCTTTCGTGTAGACTTCATACAGTTGATTCGTGAGAAGAGCAAACGCGGTCGTCTATTTCCTAGGTCACTTCTCTTACTGACTGCATATCTTATTTAGCTGTACATACTAGGTTGACTGACTGGTTGCATTCATGGGTCAGTCAGTGCATTGACGACTAAAAACACATCAACCACTGAATCCCTTATCGACAGCCATAACACGTTTGTCTACTGATACTTCGAAGGCATGGTTCACAATCAAGATGATTAATGCTGTAATTGGATGTTTAATTCAGGTGAACCCTGTAGAAGATCAGTAACGCATAAACTGTTGCTGTAATTAGCTATAAAGCTTCTGAAAATGGGAGTTGGGTTGATTTCACTTGACTGTAATTGACTCTTACTAAACTGAGATGAATGGATAAAGTTTAATATAAGTAATGATACCATAAAATGAATAAGACTTTAGGCTGAAAGAAATTTTACAAGTACTAGTCAGACTGCTTAGCAGATAATGAAATTCAGTAAGATTTCAAAAACAAACTGAATATCTACTTAAAATGAATGAGTAAAGAGTAGATGAATTCCTTATTTTATCTTTTTTCATGCCTTACAAAGTAACTTGAATAATTTCTATGTTCAGATGACTAGCTGGATGATGGTGTAAGGTAACCAGTCTCTATGAATCAGATCAGGTGTTAACAAAATACGTAGGTCTTGTAGAGAAATTTTATCATGGTTTCCTCACGTCATGTAACATGATCTGTTTGGTGCCTCAATTGGCACCCAGGCAACCAGCATGAAATCCATACAAAATATACTACCGACTGAAATGATTAGTTGTAGACCAGTCACATCGGCCGGCAGTGATCTGATCATTTTAGCTTCCGTAGGAAATTATGATGAGATTTCTCGTCACGAGCTGTGTATTTCATGAACATCTACTTCGATTCTCTGTGTGACCAGTTCACACATAAAGCTATCTGGAATTCAGGTGATTTGAGCAACTTGGCTATCTCAACTAAATCTATCCGAGTACACCTCCAATCCACTTGGCTTCAACCAATCGAAGCGTCAGTCTAGTGATTGGATCACTTTGATGAGGCTAGCAATCATTGTTGTGTGGTCTTTGATTTGCCATTTCTCGTTTCAGTCAGTATTATGTTTCATAACTTGTCTCGAAATAACAAGCGATACTATTCACGTTCGAGTCCCGTTGATATTTGACAAAACGTACATTCCGCTTAGCAGTCAAAGATACTGGAGCAAGTACAGGTGCCTGAGACAATGTTATGGTAGGTGCAGATTGTTCATGGATTTAGAGAAGCGAGATATATGAGCCTGATTCGATTCCAAGACTACTCCTGATCATAGTATTTCTATATAAACCAAGCTTTTATACATCTCAGGGTAGTTTTAACTACGGATTGATATCTATTGGCAAACAAGTAAAATCCTAGGTGTACTGGACATCTGTTTCCTCTTATTATGAGACTATCCAACAGTGTCCACATAGAATATTGTGGGGGACCAAGTCTGAGGCATTCAGTTCACACGCTAAGAAATTCACTATTCAGTTATTTGTTTCCAATCCAAAAAAGAATTAATCCTACTATTCATTGATGAGACGCTTCACAATGAATTTTCAGAAATTCTAGTGAGAAGTTGTGACCTACGCGGTCGACCAAGTCGGATATTAGGATAAACACACCTATTAAATTTTAAACGAAAAATCTTTGAATTAAATCTGTAGGAACACTAGCTATGCATGATAACATGATTCGCTTTTCGCTCATTCAGATGAGCATTACTGGTTACCTCATTGAACCAAAAGGAGCATCAGTGGTTGTCAGTAACGAGCATTTATACAGCATAGATTAATACAGTCAAGAAAATATTCTATTTGTTATCATATCCATATCGATAACCTCTTTGTTAATAGCAATCATTCACAGTAATAAATAATCTATAAAGCAAATGACTTTTGCTGAATTTCAATCCTACTTCAACTTAGTTGAACAGGAATTAGGAATTTCTATTTAAAAGTTCACCTTTCTGCTTCCCCCCTGTCCCCCTAATTTATACATTTCTCTATGTTTTCTCCATTCAGTCTTTAATTCACAAGATAAATTTGTTATTATGAAATTTTGAGGGAGTTGTGGAGATTTGGAAATATTTCAAGTTGTTATTCATCGTAAACTGACATCAGTTGGAGGAACAAAGGAAACCTGGGAGCACTCCACAGCTGTTTCATCCTAGCTTGGGACTCCTACGCAGTGCGCACCCTCGACCATACACCAGCAGCGATCAAAACCGCGACATTCAGGTTTCGCGGTCAGCGCGTTACCATTGAGCTAGCCACTGGGTCACAATCCAATGCTCCATATTTCCAACTTCTGTTAGCTCACGTTATAGCGCAAACCGCCACCCAATATCATCGTTGAGTATCTGTCCTCATGGCCATCAGGCTTTGACTCCACCGGTCACCACTTCTCATTTGGAACTTCGGGAATACTTCTCGAAGCTAGTCACCAATGAGCACCAGTTCAGTCTTCGATGAATAACAACTTGAAATATTTGTTATTGTTGTTATTGCTACCATGCCCAATTTTTGTTTTCTTATTCTTTCCCATTTTAAGCTAAAAAGCAAGTGAAAGCTTTGGAATCTAAAACTTTACGTGCATCGAATTCTATAGAATCAAGGCCAGATAATGCATAAAACTAACTCATCAGTTAACTGGACATATTAAATGTTCAATGTTGAACTAAAATTATTGTTTTTAAAAAAATAAACAGATTTTGAATGAATAAATGGTTCAGCAGACGATATCAAAAGGGGTTGGTACATGTTCACAGAATCTTTCATTAAGTATCCTCTCCATTCTTTCAATGTTTATTTTAGTACAGTTGCAAGTAAGCAAATAGATATAAGTGAAGATGACATGAAAAGGTTTCATGTTTAAATTAACTTCCCTGGACATGTTCTTCGTGGTATCAATGACAAGTAATTTCATAGGAGAACAAATTAGTACGATGTATGCATTCTGTTGGCAATAATTTTAGTAATGCAGTTCATCATCTCTGAATTATACATTGATGAATACTACATTGTCTTCAACACAGTTGTCCCAATCGATTTTTCGGGTTCTTTTCTCTCATATATATGATGAACGTATCATCTACCTATCTTAAATACAATTTTGTCTGTACAATGATACCACTTAGTAGTTTGTTATTGTCTCGATGGCCTGGAAATATGTCCGCAATCAAAAACTAAGGGGACTTCTTATAGCCTCATCTATTGTCTATCAATGGTACAAATCATTGTAATGGCACATATTTGTGAGTTGTAACAAAAAATCTTCAAGTTTGTTAGGTCATAAAGTCTACTACATCACTACGATTGTACATGATAACAGTCATTTCTTAAACTGATACATTCTTAAATGGGTATTGTGTCAGATGAAACCATAAATTCTTTGCTTCTACTGATGTTACAATCTGGAAAATATTCTTCAAAGTATGACTGCTCAACTTTTTGCCATAGGTTGAAGTAATTGGGTAAGTCATGGTACGAGTTCGTGGTATGCAAAGTTCGAGATGAACAAGTAAATTTAATAGTTTATATGCATACACTGAAAGAATAGAGAGAATAACACACCTTAGTTTCTTTGAACAAGTTTCAAAAAGCCTACATCTCAGAAGAACAATTAACCAGAGCGATACTGTCACTTGGAAATTTATCGATATAGAATATGAAATGGAGTCCTTCAACGTGATAAATAAATGGTGTTGTTCGAACTTTGAAGCATGTACTGAGACTGAAATGATCAAACAACTGAAGACATAGTTATATATTCATAAAGAAACAGTAATTAGTCTTTTGTTGCTACGTCAACAGGAGTTTCCACTCTTCTCACTTTTGATGAAGTAATCTTTCGACTGAAACGTTTTCTATTTAAAAAAAGGTTGTGATATTCACTTTTGCCAACTGAGTTCTACTCAAATTGCCATTATATAATTTTTCTGTTGCTCATCATTACCTAACCGTCTTGCGAGATACTTTGTTGAAAATACCGAAACACTGAATCCAAAATGCTAAACAGTCAGTATATATATATATATATATATATATATATATATATATATATATATTAGCAACTCGTATGATCGTTTCACACAAACACCAACTTTATCTGTGGGTCAAATAAGAGAAGTTCAATGTTATTTATTTAGATGGAATAAGGGTAACTGGTGTGTTGTGGAGGAATGTAAGAAAAATGCTTCATCTCGCTCAAGACTAATCAGTTGGATATATCTACTTTGCAGTGAGTGATATCACTACTCCATATACCACAGCCGTGCCGACTGTGAAGTAGTAAGCCAAGAAGACACTGGCCATCAACGACTATCAATTACTAGGAAGCTCAAAATTCTGTAGTTCAAGCCCAGTCGATCCCGCTGATTTGTGACTAAATACATGTTTCCACTTTTAAGCTACATTTACAAATGAATCAAGAGTATTCCAGTTGGATCATTAAGGGCTACAATCATTGTTGATGCTGTAGCACGAAAAGTGAAATATGTCATTTGACATACATTTAGTTATAAATTTGGATATATCAGGTAATTATTGCAAATTCGGAAATTTAAAGCGATCAACACTTAACCAACAATGTATCTGATGAAGTTCAGATTATCAGTTAAGAAGACAATGGTGCCATAGTCTCATTACTTGATACGATAACCAAATGAACAACTGAAGAGATGTAAGTACGCAGAAAATTGGTATGAAAAGAACAAATACTCAGAATGAACAACAATTATTCCACTAGGTGTAGAAAAGCTGTGCATAAACATTATTCAAAAGAGCTAGAATGTATAGTAATGCAGCTGCGTAAGGGGACATTTGGGGGAAGTCGCCTTAAAATTATCTTTTTTTGAGAAACCCATATCTCTCTAACTTCATTCAGTTTACTTAGTCACAATAGACTAACAAAGAGTGAATTGTATCGTTAAGTAAAAATTACAGCTGTCCAGACATGTCAGACACAGACAGAAAAATTCGGCACGCATTTATTCAAGTTGCAATAATTCATAGAATCATGGAAAGGATGATTGGATAGAATAGGACTGATATCAAAGTTGACAGAGATGTGTGGGAGAAGAAAGACTCTGAAAATTAAAGTTAATGGAAATGTTTAAGCTTCAAAAGACTTTCACTTTATGAAGATTCACTATCCAGTGATTCCCATGATCTCGAGAATTTCAGCCACGTAGTCTACACCTCCCTACACGGCTCATACTAACAGTCAGAAACTCCCTCCACTAGTTCTACTTCTTGGTTTGGACACAGTGAAGCCTCTCCCAGCCAAATCCCACTTCTACTCGTACTGCACGTCTTGTTAGCTCGTCACGCGCAACACATGTCGAAAATCCATTGACCTAGTTGGTTGTCTTACCTAGTACCCTTCACGTAATCTCTATGTTTCTTACATCGTAACCCCACCACAAATGAACAATACTACAAAGACGTTTGTTGTCGTACAGCTGTAGTCTCTTCATATCTTCCAATTTTAACACCCACCTAACAGTATAGAACGAAGTATAATACAATACACTCGTTCTTTAACAGATAGTCAGATATCTGACCAGTCGGTGCCACTGATGATGCAGGTTGACGAACCTTCTATATCTCAGCAGAGATTTCGTCAGTAATCAGCTGATGCACTTCGTCAGGTAAGTGATTCGTTGGACACATTCCACCGCTTCTCTATCTATCTTTAAACTGGAAGTAATTACAGATCAGGTACAAAACGCATTCCACACATATTGAACACATCAGAAATAATAATCTCGGTGTTTAGATAACATGAGGTGAATATTGTCTATCAATCAATGTGATCGCTGAGAATAATGTTGTGAAAACCTGATAGTTCTTCATAAAAGGACTATAAGAACAGTACCATTTACACTAGTAAATGCATGAACAAGTTATTAACCTCAACAGGCCATTTACTGGTGTCGTTTAAGAGTTAAGCGTCATACTATATCACCATTTATTTCAACCCATTGTTATAACTAATCATGAACATCTTTATGAAGGAGAGAATGTAGAAAAATATGATATAGGTAACTTCAAATCTGGCAGGAAGAAGTTTTGCATTGTGATAAAATAGTTATAGGAAAATGTATGAAAGCAGAATTTATCTACATGCTGATTAGGAAAAAGGGATTATAAACAACACGGTTAACAATCACATAACACAAACTCATCTACACAAAAACTTCTATGATGCATCTACACTAGCATAATGATCATCATAAACTTGTTATGATAAGAATTCAACCGTTTCATGGAAGATCCATAATGTTCACTTCTTTCAGAAGCCCGTTTTGATGAAAATGCTTCTCAGTGTAAAAGAGGAGCATAAACTCTTGAATGATTTGGACTATTAGACTTCAAACCATCAAAATTAATCAACTAACTTTGCGTAGAAGAGTTACTATCCCAAAAATGTCTAGTTTCTTTAAGACTAGGTAAGTATATTCTGAAATATTTATCAGACAAAAATTCTTGTCGAATTTCGATCAACAATCATAGTTGAAAATAGTCTTGAAATTCAGTTATCGCATCTTTTCCTAAATGTAAAACAACCTACTGTGAAATCAACAATCTTTGCAATTGTATCATCTAGAATTCAGCCGGAAATGATCAACTTTTCAGGGTACTTTTAACTTGAATGCCAATTTCATGTAACGTATATCAGAAATCAATTTCATTAGGTTACCTTTTTTCATGTTCTGATAACCTTAAACATGATTGATAAAAGTTTATTTGGAAAATAAATCAAATTTACTGTGAGTATTCACACCAGAAGGTAATCACCGAATACTCTAGAGTAAATCAAATCAGAAAATCTGTCTATTTGAATAACAAGCAGAATTTGGATCCTTGTGTAATTATTATTCACTAGAAAAAGCGGAAAAGTCGTCTGGCGTTTATATCACTCTGATCTGGCCACCGAAATTTACAGATCAGTGTGAGTGGTTTCTAACCAGTTAAATTGTTCCGTGGTAGTATCTTTCACTACGAAAATTAGTCATCTAGTCAAGTAAATCTGGAAATCTATATTCTCGTTGACAATTTTCAGGCTTAATAGATAGAGAATTTATATAAAATCTTCATGAACCCTATTCATATGCATTATCTGCTGACAGTTTAGCTCAATAGTAAGGCGTCATTTGAATGAATAACCAATTAAATAATATTGACGTACTGAAATAGCTGTTCCGTATCGTAAGTGTTCAACATGACTTACTATATAGCAATACATTGTTACCGTCAAACTAAACAAATTACTAAGTAGTAAGATGGTTAAGGGTATGTAGTTTTCATAAAATGAGTAACAACTGTGATGAATGTTACTAATTACATTAAATATAGTGTAACTTTCAACCCTAACTTGAAGCTAAAGTGGAAAATAAATTTAAAGTTTTTTTATGAATGTGAACTATGAGTATGCTGCTGGTTCAATGACTTCAATCTTATGTCAAAAAAAAATTGAAACTACACCTACTGTATAACAAAATACACCTTAAACTGATTACTAAATATGAAATTTTGAGCTAAGATTTGGCCTATAGCTGTCCTCCAAAATGAGATAGCATAATTAGAGCAGGTGGGACCTGACAGATTCACCAGTTACAATTTAATGA